GACCTGGTGTGCTTCGTTCGGGCGCCGAGATCCCGATGAGGAGCGCCGGCGGCGGAGCTGCTCTGTGTGGGCGGCCACCGCCTGGCTCTGACGTAAGCTGCTGCAGCCGGCTCCGAACACGGCCGCACCAGCTGGGGCGCCACACCGGTCGTCAGCTGTTCTCACGACATGAGTTGTAAAGCTGGTGTGAGATGCGAAAGATTCTTGGGAAGTAGTTGCCTTGGCATTTTCTGCGAAGTGGAATAGTCGCTGCAAAGCTGCCATTGGATGTCCTCAGTGTATTCAGCCATGATGATTTATGTCCGGAGACCGAGATAGCCGTATGGAAGGTGTACTGTGTGGGAACTGTGCGAACGTACCGTGCAGCAACGTGAGACAACTTGGCCGAGCTGGGTAGATGCCGCGTTGCCTACAGCAGTCGAGTTTTGTGAGGTGCACCCACCGCACGGTCACGTAATGTTGTTTTGCACAATATTGTGTATGCCGACGGACGACCGTTTTCGCGTGTTCCAGGAATCGCTGCGTGGAACCCGGCCTTTGATGTCACTCCGTCCAGCTTGATCACGGGCGGCATCATCACGGAGAAAGGTGTGCTGCCCGCCGCCGACGTCGGTCGGGTCGCTGACCTGTAGCCGTCGATGGTCGTAGGGTCGTTGACCTGTCACCCGGAGATCGGTGGGGACGCTGACCTGTGAACACTGGCTGGGCTGCTTGCCGCTGTGTGCGACGTATCACCGCCGGTTGCGATGTTCGCCACCAGGTGTCGTCGGCGTCACAGCCGCTCGTGGCGCGAAATGGCGGGGAATAGGTGGCGGCGGATACCTCCTGCGGGGCGCTGGGTGGCATTCTGGGGAATGCTTGATATTACGATATGATATTCACTTTAAGTATGCTGCCATCATCGTGTGGACCGGTCCAGAATACGATGTGCTTGTTCATGGGACTTGTAACGACACAAAGACGTTTATAAATGATATCTTTTTCAATTTAGTCAAAGGATATGCATGCGTGCATGTGTCCAAGGCCATTTGTAATCGACGGTATCCTTTGCAGTGAACTCATAGCTGTCGCTCCGCAACCACTTGTATGTCTTGTCTTTTGTGGCTTGATTGCGCCGTGCATTGCACAGCTCGTAACGTTCAAGCAGCCTGTGTGGCGTTCATAGTCCATCGGTATTGCCAGCACGGCTTGCTGAGTGGATATCGCCTGCGTATACGGGGCGCCTTGAGCTGCATTTGCCATATCATGTTGCCTTGGGGCGCATTTACCTCGCACGCTTGCACTATGTTTATCGGAAATAAACCAGAAAAAAGACAAGAACTTTGCTCGCCTCCGGCTTGGAGTTGATGTACGGGAGCAAGACTGAGTGGGAGAGCCAGGAGGAGGAAGAGAGACAACAATGGAACAACTAATACGTGCGCTGTTTTAAGCGTAAGGACACGCAAAAATAGGGCGCTTTATTCCCTTTGTGTCAGACCTCACGACAAAAAAGAAATACATGCAGGCTTCATACAGCAAATGCATCGTAAGCAATGAAAGCCCGCCTGACGGATGTCATCAGATCTGCTTGTACCAGGAGTCCATGATGTCCCGTGTGATGACGTGTTCACCACGCTCATTCAGGTCATCACGCATGCGCCCCAACTCATCTGCTGTCACTGGCGGCGAAATAGGAGGATCGTGCCGACACAACCTCAGAGCGCCACACCGCCATCGCTCTGATATCCTGAGCGACCCTGAGCCGACTTCACTGATCGGTCGGGACGAGAAGTGATTCCAGGACGGGGTGATACCGCACACGGCACGGGCTTCTCTGGATCCGTTGGGGAGCGTCTCCCTGGAACATCAGCTGAAAGCTGCCGCGGAGTGGCTTCGCGTCCACCTGACCTGCTGCCACTGGACTTCTTGCTATGGAATGATGGAAATAACCACGTTCTCGTGGACAAGCCGCGAGCCTTCAAGACCTCAAGGCCGCCTTCAGACTTGAGGTGGGACGCATCAACGGTGACGAGATCGGCAGGGCAGCAAACCACCTGCAGCGGGTTCAGCTGTTCGCGTCTGGGGCCGCCAGATGCAGTCACTGCATGTCGAATGTAGAATTTCTGACTTCCAATGTCGCTACTTCCGTTTCGCCATGGACTGCGCGCTCAGATGTCACGGCAGTCACGATTGAGCGAAGAATATACTTGCCATTGTTGATGGAAACGTAGATCATTGTTTGACCGGAGTACCCTTTACTTTAAAAAGTTACCGTATATTGCAGCCCATTTGTTTGCCCGTTTCGCTCGTGATATCTCATCAAAAATGCGTCAACACTTCCAGACTGGCGTAACGTACGAGGAAGTTGATATGGATAGCATTTGGTACGAAATGAGCATGCTAATATGAGTGATGTGATTTGGTACCAATTGCGCCAGCAGTTCCGATAAATTTTGCATTTCATAAGCTCAGAATTCCACTTTGCTGATATGCATTGGGGAGGAGCTCAGAAGAGCAAAGCAGGGGTTAAAACCACCATAGTGAGAGTGGCCGTGGGCCTAAGTCCTCTCAAAAGTATGCAGGGTGATGCCTCTGAGCATGACTCTTTAAGCCTATCGTTCACCCATTCGTCAATCCAGACACGAATCAGCCTCATTTGGATCGTTCATATCCGGAATGACGACAAGCACCATTCTTACACCGGCTGGCGCCTTCGCGAGTGACTCAGTTTGCCCCTTGGGGCGCAAGGAGAAATACGTGGCATCATTGCTTTGGACTAACTGATGCGCAGCGCCCAGAATGAGGCCATTTACATTGCGCGTGTGCGGCTGAGCCTACTGCCCGAAGTCTGATGGCAAAAACGGAACGTGAGCTGCACTGCGATTCACTCAGAAGGTTCCATTTCTGTGATCACAGGTGTTTCGCGCCTTTTTCGTGCATTCCTAGTGCGGATTTGACGTTTAAAAACGCTTACTCGCCTTTGCTGGTCACGTGCGTCGCTGTTTTCAGAACCCCACAGATAAGCTCGTCCCCCGCAGGCTTCTGCTCAGTTTTTCCCCTCCCTTCTCTCTCCATCCTCTCAAGTAACGCGGCCCGTTCCATTTTTTACTGTTACCCTGTCCTGTACCTTACCAGTAGTGGGTGCCTAACTGGGACGCCTGCCGCGTGGCCCGACGATATTGCGTGAGGAGTGACGGTGGGGCCAATCGAAGTCGCTTGGTCTCTTTTCGTATATGTCTCTCTACCTGTGCCTTCTCCCCGCATCCATATTATGATTTTTCCTGAGACTGGCTACTGAGCCTCGGCTTACTTGCTCGCCTTCAGTGTCACTTTTAGTCTTCAGTCACGCTTTCTGGTCATCAGTACCTACCGTCGGTCTTCCATCGCATTTGCTGTCCACACCCTGCCATACGCACAGCCACGACCTTAAGCCAAACGTACAGCCTTCAGCTGTATTTTCCAGTCACGAGCCTCCTTCTAAACCGTTACTCCAAGCCTCCTGCGCCGTGCTCTGCCACCATGCCCACACTGACACCGACTCAGGCGGTCACCACCCCCGGCGCGTGGGAAGCGGGGCTTCTCTGGACCGATCTGACTACTACGGGGCCTAGCCCAGTGACCCCACGCTGGGATGCAGCCCACGATAGGCGAACGCCTGACACATCGCCACAACCCCGAGGCGCGTCTCTTCCGCATGGCTCGCCTCCCCCCCCCCCCCCCCCCCTCCACCGGGCGATTAA